ATCGTTGGTGCCCCTAATGGTAAGAATGTAGGAGCCATCAGTTGGAACAGAAAATAGAGGCTCTGGTAACAGATGCATCCCAGAGTTGCCTTCTTCTGTGGAGGGAAAAATCATTAAAAAAATATTTAAAAAGAAAGAAAGAAAGAAAGAAAAAAGAAAGAAAGAAAGAAAAAAAAAGGGGGGAAAAAAGAGAGAAAAAAAAGAAGAAGAAGAAAAAGAAGAGAGAGAAGAGAGAAGAAAAGAGAGAGAGAGAGAGAGAGAGAGAGAGAGAAAAAAAAATACTAAGCATAATCATTCTTTAAAAAAACGTAATAGGTTTGAGAAGAATGGTATTGCGAATAAAGTAACTATAACTACTTTATTAAAGATCTGAATATCTAATATTCTTAGCAATCTATACACATTATTTCTATCTAAGTACACATAACTCTATGTGCAAATACACACATATCCATTCATTAATCACACACACATAATATTGAAACATATATAAAATTACATTAACATCTATTTCTTTACATATTTGTGTGTAAAAAGAAAAGAAGGGATGCATACCATCTGCCGTCTGTGAGAATGATACACCTAATAACACAATCTCAGAAGTGGTTGTGAGGCACAGGAGATACTCGATATATTTTTTGAAAACTCCGGCTTTTGGTTTGACAAGACCTACACTTAGGATTGTTTCATGAAGGCCATCAAAGTATGCTAAGTCTCTCCTGTAAAATAAAATAATAATAAAAAATAATAGTAGTAATAATAATAATATAACAACAATAATACTAATACTAAAAAGGTAATACTGTGACTTTATATCGATGTGCAGATCTTGAAGTATACATGTTGTCTACTCAAAAGCACTCACTCACTGACTCAACATTCAAATGTATATACACATATACATAAAAATGCAAATTTACATTGTAATTGCAAGCCAAGAGGTCTATACTGTAATGAAGGAGATCACATTATACATCACAGATTAATCCACAATTCCTATTTTGAACATTGAGAAGATAGGCTAATGAAGTACACAGTAATAGTAAAGAAAAACTTTGAAATTCCTTTTTAAGATTCACTTACCCATCCTCATACACCCATACATATATGTCACTGTCGATAGTCAGCCAGGCTCGATTAATCTCAGGGAAAAGGCCCATCATGCAGTTACATTGCATATCTGTCTTTCAGTTAAGGAAATCTTCCCTTAATACAGTGTTAAGCAATAGCATTTTATATCAACTTCAAAATTACTATTGTGAATTCACTAAAGTCCTCCTATTATCAATAGGGATCTTTGGCTTTTGTTTCTTAATTATCAATGAAACTCTAAACACAATTTGTAAAGACAACTCATTTCAAAAATTCTAAGCTTTATCATATTACTAACTACCTTCTTTCAAAGTAATATGAAAATTTATATGGTTACATTTCTGAAAAAAATATCCATTCACTCTGAATAATGTATCAATATTGGCACTCTATTAAAAATACAGCACAAGCTTGATATAATAAATCATACAAAGATTCAATAATCTAATAACTGGCTGACTAAAAAAGGATACGTTGGAAATGGTGCATCAGTTCTGACGGTAGAGGAACCTTGCGGGTAAAACTGAGGTGCCTTATGGACCTTGGGTCACCGCTGTTCGGGTAGTCGCTCTCACTCAGCCCACTTACAGTTGCACTTCCTGCCAAAATTATACCATATAAGAATAAGAAAATTAAATATACAATTCAAAAAATATCAATTGCTTTCCAAGAGAAGACATACCTTGAGGAGAGACTCTAAGCATATCCAAAAGCGAAGGAAAACTTGAATCATAGTTGAGATGTTTGTCAACAAGCCTTCCAGCAATTTCCAAGTCCTGTAGAACACCATCGCCCCCACCCTCCCCTCCCCCAAAACTGAGGGTTGTACTGAGCGTGTTCTGCTGCATCTGTGAAAAGAAGAAAATAATCAATACATATATTACATTTCTAATAATTTTCTAGTTCCTTTTCATTTGTTTAAACATGGACCCCAATCCTAATATTTGGGGAGTTAATTATACAGAGACATGTACTCTCACTCTCACTTTCACTCAAACACATACTCTAGATATCAAATAAATAATGTCTGCATATGTTCCTTTTTCTAATGACCCTTAGCCCAGGAAGGCTACCACATACTGTAAATTATGAAGTAAAAAGTAATAGGGAGGGGGATAAAAGACAATAGAATAAAGAAGTGAAAAAAAGAAGAAAAAGAAGACGGGGAAGAAAAAAGGAGAAAGAAGAAAAACACACAAAAAAAGAAAGAAAGAAGAAGAAAGATATATAGCATGGTATATACATTTTCAGCAGGAATACCAAATGACACCAAGAAGTACATTTGTACAACCCCTGGGAATTCATTTTCAAATATGGAGCCCAGGGGAACTTCATTACTTTATGGATAATTTTAATAAGTGATTGCTCAGAGGGACTATGCCTTTATTACTCCTGCCAACAAGCTTGTGTCCATTCCTGGGAATCTACAAACATTGCCATAAGAACCAATAACCTTCCTAACCAGCTGATCCCCCATTCCATTATCATATCTCCCAGGCCAAGGTCACAGCCTCTGAATGCTCTTCTGATTGCCACATTTCCTGTATCTAAATTAGAGAAGTGCATTCAAAGTACAATCCCATTTAAAGAGTGACCATGAATTGTCATTACTTCAAGAACTACACACGCAAAAAACAGTTTATGCAGGGGTGCCACGTAATAAGGCAGCACACAGCATTTGTCACAACCTACAGAGCAATCAATATATCCTAGTTTTTGTTAATCTTATTATTATGGATGCACTTAGCTAGCACAAACTGAATTAAAAATATTCTTGTAGAGTTTTGTGCATACGGAGGTGAAGACAATGTTTGCCAGGATAGAAGAATGGAGCACCTCATCAACCCTCTCCTCTAGAATGCCCAGTCATGGCAGCTTTGATTGTTAATCAAATTTTGTAAAGAATTGCCCATTTCTGCTGTAGTGTCATAAACATGGTATACAAGTTAGCCCACTACTGGACAACTACCTGATAAATACTGGGGCTTAATTCAAGTCCTAATCAGTCTGGAATCTGTGCAAGCCATCTGCTGAAGATCTATGCCAATGTTTTAATCAATATCTCCCAGTTTTCAAAATCCTCCACACCCTTTAGGTGTAAGTATCCACCAATTAGAAAATTTGATTCCAAAAATCTGACAATATAAAAAAATTTGGCTGACTCCATTCCCCAAATATCCAGCAGAAAGGGCCTGGACTTCAGACAGGCATCCTATCACATCATGACAGAAGACCAGATTAGAAAGTTTGTTGTGTGCAGCCCCTAGCTGCGCAGTGTAAACAAATCAAACAATGGAGTAGATGGAACATATGTCAAATTTCTTACAGGTGCAACAAATGCTTACTAAATTTAAAATTATGTGTTTTTCATTTGTTGTCAAATTTTTGACTGGCATTTGATTGACCTTACGATTTTGGCTGCCCATACCCACCTATGCAATTTTTTTAAACACAGTAAACTCTAGCAGCATACCAATTCCCCTACGCAATTTGCAAATTTCCAATCAGGGCTGAAGATTCACTGACACCAGGTGACATAATCGGGTCAGGCGACTACTTACTAGCTATCAGAACGACACCTTGGGACCCACACAAGAGATAGACAATCACATAGGCGCAGCAAAATCCACACCAAATGTACTTTTGCCCTCGTCAAATCATCACCAAAATTCTATGCACTGTAATGAATGAGTTCTATAGCATTGTGTAATGTCAACCTTATATCCTCCCATTTATTTCCCGTATTTTCGGGCAGTGCTCTTTTGGATAATCCTCCTACACACCCCTCCCACGCCCAATTACATCAACCACGACCTCCCACACCGCTATTAAGCAGGAAAGAAGCAGATAACTTGGACTCGCATCTTCAAGTCATCGGCTGAGACGGAACGTGTAGGAGGCGAGAATATAAACAAATACAAAAACACATCATTATCGACATTTCAAAAGCTCTTGAAAATGGATTAGGGTAAAAGACACGACGCTGAATCTGGAGAGAGGCCGGTGGACGTGGAATACGTACATTTCGAGAAGGATTTCGTATTTCGTGGTGAAACAAGTTGGTCCAGGGATAATCTGTCAGGCACTTTGTTGTCGGATTTCCCTTCGAATAAGCGATTTTGAAGCCGATCTTTTGATGATTTTTGTTCCCGGCTATCCAAGTGCACGTAGAATGCAACGTGAGAGTATTGCAAGAACATACAAGGTCGCAGTTTCAAAATATTTGAAAAATAAAATCAAATGCGTTACCTTCCCTCCTACCGCTCCACGATGACCACGTCCGATTTGGTTCTCTTGGCTTTAACTTCGTCAGGAGCCACCACTTTCTCTGCTTCTTTGATGTCGTTCACTGTTTTAGGTGTTTATGAAAATACTTTAATTTTTCTGATTGTTTGTTTCAATTCTAGAGAAATTTGTTTGTTTTTTCTCTATGCTAAAGGTGGTGGAAATACGCAAGTAACGCATGCCTTTTCGAACAGAGGAATAGGAAATACCGTTGATACAGAAACAAGCAAATTACTTTCTTTATAGATGTACAATACAGCACTAAAATTGATAGTACTTAAAATTTAAATTATAAGTAAAAATATTTATGTTTATATCAATCCTTGCAACTTTTTTTAATGGATAGAAAAGGCTTTTGAAATATCATTCAGAAAACAGGTAAAAAATAGATACGCATCGAATGAAAAGGATGGGATTAAATCTAATGCTATCTCTTTCATGGAAGACCGTCCTGGGTGGCTATTACCAATAAAATTATAGAACCACGCATCGGAACGAAGTATTGTAACTTGAGGGAACTAACGGAAGTTTAATCATTAACACAATTCCTTGTGAGTAACGAAAACCTACTCCTCCCACCCAAACCCAATCGCATTCAAGAACCGGTTTGCCGTAGGAGCAATATTTATTCCAATCGTCTATACTCCAATGTCGACGTCTTCTGAGAGTGACAGATTCTTCGCCCAGACTCGCTAATTCACACAAAATCATCTCAGGAGGCCGATGGAGCGCGTGATTCTCAGCTAGACGATAAGAGGTAAAAACAAGAGATGTTCAAGAGTTAGAGGATAGTGTCAGAGTGTTTTTCAGACCTCAGGGAAGGAAATATGAGGGTGTGATGAGTGTATGCGTTGTTGTGTGTGTGTGTGGATGTCATTTTCATATTGTTTTATTGTTTTTCTCCATATTTTGCTGATTTTGTTTCAGGTTTCGATCTCATTTCCCAGTACTTTTGAAGGGTTATGGGGATGAGATTCGTCTGATCTAGGCCTAAGTAATATTGGAAGTGACGTCTTTCAGAATACGTATGGAAACCAACATATTTTTACTTTTAAAGCTGTGACAGTTTGTTTTATTCCTATTTGTTCGTTTTATTTGTTTATGTCATCGTTGATTTCTTTACGACCTTCTATGTGCTTTGTCATTAGTACTAATGTGATTTGTTGGGTATTATCAGTTATTTCATGATCAGTTTTTTTATGGTATTTTTGTTTGACTGTCTGCTTTCTTTATTTTAAAAGGAAAAATTTCTGTTGTCAGTTTAAAGTAAAAATTTGTACAGCTTTATACATGTACATAGAATTATTTATATGCATGTATGTGTTTTGTTGTTACCTGACAAAAACCTTGCAACCATGCAATTTGTGATACTGAAATCATTACTGTCATCATTATAATCATTAATGATAATATTATTGTTCTTTATTATCATTGTTACTTTTGTTTTTTGTTGTTGATGCCATACATAGTCCTACTCAAATTTATTTACTATTCAGATTAATAGGGTTATCACAGTTTCGTTTTGATTCTACAGTCTAGTACAAATATTAATGCATTTTTACAATCAGCAGAAATTAGCATGTATAGACTGTATGAAAGTAGCTCAAAATCACCTAATATCTTCAAGAATCAAAGATCATATTTTTATTATCCAGTAGAGATATGTCATCCGGAAAGGTTCTCAGAATTTGCATTCTTGTAAAAACTTACTAGGGCATAACAAATTTAATCAGTCTGTTTATGCTGGATGACATCCTATGATGAAAATTTTCCTGATGTGAGCAGATGTCTCATGATGTCATAAGCCAGAATCTTGGCAGCTGATATGATAGCCTGGGACCCAGCTGTGAGTCGGACAAAAACTCAGGCATGAGGTGCTTGCTTTTGCGCCCAGCCTCACCAAACTTCAATAGTGCTATATTATGAAAGGGAGATGTGTGTATATATAGGGCATAACAAACAAAGCTGTTCAGAATCCAAATATTGATGTGTCATGTGTAAAAGCCATAGATTTAAAGCAAAAAGGTAATCAGCTGTTTGGGTTACTTTTAATATCAGAAAGATAAGCCATGTGTATTCTGAGATTTTGATAACTTTAAGATGGATATGTCTGCAAGTAATGTTTATTGTATAGTGGTACTTTTCCTGGTTGAGGATGAATTAAAGGGAAAAGAATATAGATAGATATATGAACAATCTAAGAGGATACTGCAATAAGTTCAATAATGATTCTGCACATAAGAAATTTATGTAATGGAAAAAAAAATTAACACAGAGTATAGCATGCAGAAGGAGTATGATTATTTTGAAGATAATTTTGATTATTTTGTCTTAGGAAATACTTGTTGGTAATAGATACAGTCACTTGCAGGTCTCTTCATATCCAAGATATTTTTGTGAAATAGGCTGCTATGCAAATTGCACAATATGTGAACACTGTATTATTGTACCGTAGCTTTGTAGAATACTTCATCATATTTTAAAAACTTTCTTTGTATGATTAACATGCAAATATTCACTAGGTTGCTTTTAGAAGATTATGGCAGCCAATAATAAAAACTCATCTGTTAAATTATCTGTCTTAGTATTGATGAACGATATTTCATATACTTTAGCCACTTCTCAATATGCAATAGGATTGTTTTTAATTGGTTATATAGGAAATGAGTAAGGAAGTAAACTTTTTGCTATATTATTCTGGAAATAATTCATTGTGAATAGGAAAATTGCACATGCAGGATTGTAGCTACTAACAGCTGTTAAAACTATCCTTTTCAAAAGTTCTCAGTTTGAATTAAGTATTGTTTGAATGCCAGCCTAAGCAGTTTTTGCTTGAACAGGTGCTATCTCTCTCTTCTCTCTCTCTCTCTCTCTCTCTCTCTCTCTCTCTCTCTCTCTCTCTCTCTCTCTCTCTCTCTCTCTCTCTCTCTCTCTCTCTCTCTCTCTCTCTCTCTCTCTCTCTCTCTCTCTCTCTCTCTCTTTCTCTCTTTTTGTGCATGTGTGCATGCGTCCGTCTGTCCATCCATCCATCCATCCATCCATCCATCCATCCATCCATCCATCCATCCATCCATCCATCCATCCATCCATCCATCCACCTACCTACCCACCCATCCACGTGGA